TGAATACTTTCCGTACCCACTGTATATATATATATATACTTTTTTTTACTTTGGGACAATGGGACCGAAAGTTTCCAAAATATCAGGGTTTTTAGTCACTGTCTAAAATGTCACAATTGATGTGGACTTTTGTGAAGTCCACGAGACCACAGTGTCCCATTTCTCATTTTATGATGAAGATCATGGTACTCTTTAGCTCTTTGTAGCATTTGATCATGGTACCATGATGCTGTTACTCAGTATTTTTGTCCTGTTTTGCCAGTACAAATATCTATACATTCTTAAATAAAGATATATTTACTTAAGAAGCAAAATGACATAAGATACTAGGTCTTTTTTTTCTGAAAAAAAAAAAAAAAGTATCAAAATTAGGTAAGTTTACATTTAATACTAGAACAAATATCTGCCAGTGGAGTCAAAAAAATGTACTTAATTCAAAGGGAAAACAAGTTTATTTTTTTGTCCATGCTGGCAGATATTTGTCACTTAAATTTGTTTTTTTTTTTAGAAAACAAGACAAGTAAATGTATCTTGATTCAAGAATGCTTACATATTTGTACTGGAAATCATTTTTTTAGTATAGAGAACTTCTATACTAATATCAAAATGATACTCTATCAACGGTCTTTCAAAAATGGTCAAGAAAGGTGCTCATCAAGGCTTTTGATCATGATACCACCATATTTTCTTTTTGGAATAATTTCTACATTAAAGGGTTAGTTTTGGATTCGTCTGAAAGAAGAAAGTCATTTACACCTAGGCTGCCTTGAGGGTGAGTAAAACATGGACTAATTTTCATTTTTGGGTGAACTAGCCCTTTAAGATTAAAATGACCCAAAAGCCATTAGAAACGGTCAGTGAAATACCTGCATGTGCATGGAGATCTGGCGTCGCCCGTATTCGCTCTGGTTATGGCGGCTGTAGTCGTCGCTGTAGCTGTGGGAGTGAATGATGCTCGGCTGACCCAGATGAGGGCCGGGTCTGAGGGTGGAGAGGTCCTCGCTTCGGGAGAAACCGCCATGGGCGAACTGCGGGATGTAAGTTGGGTGAGAGGCATCTGGCTCTGGGGCCAGCAGGAGAGGAGGAGGAGGTTGAGCTCGACTGTGTTGGTGGTGAAGCTGAGGCCCGTCAGCAGCCAGGTGGAACAGAGGGTTCTGGAAGGAGAGGGGATAGCGGAGCGCGGCAGCTTGCTGCTGTTGCTGCTGGGACAGCGAGTCGGTGGTGGTTCCCATCTGGCTCAGCTGGCTCAACCTCAGACCCCCGGACATGTTGGAACCCCCGGATCCGGCCGACATACGCCCTCCGGCGCGCAGCTGACCTCCGAGGCCTCCTCCCAAGCCCGCGAACCCACCGTAGCTGCCGAGGCCAGCAATCGAGGCCTGGGAAGAGTTGAGCATGTCCCCCATAGACTGCAGGTTAGAGACGCTGTTCATTCTTGAGTCCTGGAGGTCCATCATAGAAATATTTTCATTAACACCTACAGCAGAACCTACGGGCGAGAAGGCTGCAGATACCTGCCGAGCGCAGCAGGTGTGGCCGGTTATGAACGTGGCTTGACAGCGTGTGTATTAACTTGAGGGTTAAAAGGAATCATTCACCCAAAAATGAAATTTCTGTCATTATTTACTCCCATATGCTGTTCTTTTTTTCAATGGAACTTAGAAGTACAATTTTTATGCTTAAAAGCATGCTGCCATATTTATATTCCTTCACTTTTTATGCATAAAAACAAAAGCCAGGTTTTTCTAGTAATAATGTCTAGATTTTTGATCATATAAACATACAGTAGTATACAATATAATACATAATATTTAACTAATGTAAATAATTACAGTCAGCTTTTACAGGATAAAATTAATGTAACTGAATTCAAAATGAACAAAAAAAACACAATAAAAAGTAATACTCAAATTGATTTTTTCAATGGCTCATTTAAATGTGTAATTATTACACTGTATAAAAAAACTGCATTTAAAAAAATCACATCAAAATTACTGATGATAGATTATAATTTGTTTGACATTAAATTTATAACATATTTAAAAAAAAAAACAATTTTGAAATAAAGAAGACACCCAACTGTCCTAGTAATAATACATAATTGTTGAAATATTTCAACAATGTTAACAAATAATTAGAATAATCTTTTAAGAAAAATGAATTTAACTGAATTCAAAATAAAAAAACACCATAAAAGTAGTTCATATGACTTAAATTAACTTTTTTTAATATGATTAATTTAAATGCCATTAAGTTACATTTAAATGTAATTTGTTTATTTTTTGTGCAAAGTATTTCCATTGAAAAAAAGTCATGTATAATTTGCTGATTATTCTTTAATTTTTAGATGATATTTACAGCATCTTAAAAAGACAACAAAAGTTGTCCGATTATTAATGTCAAATAAATTTAATTTATTTATTTATCTATTTAAATTTATTAAATATTTATTATTTATTTATTTAAATTTAATTAATTTATCAAATATAATGTTCTATATATTATAATAGTTCAATAATATAATATCTTTTTTTTTTTTTTACAATTATATAATATAACAAGAAATCATTTCCAACAGCTTTTATATTAGAAAATGTAATTTAACTGAAAAATTTTCAAAATGTATATTTTAAAACTGAAGTACCTCTGAAATAGACTGCAAAAGTCAAATAAAAAAATAGACTGCAAAAGCGTCAGTCTGAGGCAAAACCGTGGCAGGTGACTTTTGCATTTAATTTTTAATTTTTTTAAATTCAATCTGTTAAATTGTAAATTTTAAGAAGACCTTGAATATAGTGCACAAATAATATGGACTACCTTTACGGTGCTTTTTCAACAGCATTGGTCACTACAAAAAATGCATGTGATGCAATTTTGCATTTTTGGGTGAACTATTGCTTTAAAGGGGTCCTATTATGCTTTTTCACTTTTTTAATTTTAGTCAGTGTGTAGTGTGTATGTTTGGGCATAAAAAAGATCTAGAAAGTTACAAATCTCAAAGTCCACTCCAAAGGGAGATATTTCATTTTTAAAAAATCCCTTTTCAAGAACTACAACGAACGGCTCAGTGATGTCAGGAAACAGTGGTTGCAATTTATTTTTAACTCTGTCCCTGAGCATTATAACCCCAATTTGCTATTGTGTGCTGCGCATTTTACTGAGGACAGCTTCCACAACACGAGGGAGTACAGTGCCTGCCGGACTCGCCAAAAAGCTTTTTGTTGAAAGACGGAGCAAGGGGCGTGGCAGTACTGAAACACCGTCTAAGCTGTTCGCCAATCACAACGCACTGGGACAGCTAACCAATCACAACACATTTTGTTTTTCGGAAGGCGGACCTTCATCAAAGCCGGAACTAATCGAGCCGTTTGTGCCAGGATGGGGAGAAAGGTATTTTAATAATGTAAATTATGTGAAAAATAATGCGTTTTTCGAACCACCAAGCATGAGAGCATGTTCTAGTACACCCCCAAAACAAAATCAAGACTTTGTAAAAGAGCATAATAGGACCCCTTTAATGTCAGGACCCTGATTCCCAAATGGTGATGCAAGATTAAGGTAAAGAATCTCTATCGTAAGTATTGACTGCACCCACATCATCTCGTAGCCCTCTTTCCATGCTTGGATGGTATGTGACTTTGCAGTAAGCAGGTCAGTGGCGCTTCCTTCTCCCACAGGAACAAAGCCAACCCTCAGATTTGCTGGTGAAACGTGTGCTAGGAGCGAGCTGTTATTCACATGACAATTCGGACCAGACAGCACTGACCATAGTCATGAAAGATTTCTAAATGAAAGGGGCACCCCCCACCCTATCAGAAGCACTGTCCTATGGGACTTACCTTTGGGTCTGGATCAGTAATATCAGAACTGCTAGTACAGTACGCTGGACTGGAGCGGGCCAACGGGGGACGGGCGACATAGAAAACGTCTTTAGATGAGGCTTGGTGAGGATGATCGCGGTCTGCAAACCCCCCCATTCCGGCCCGGGACGGAGGGGCGCCGCCACTGGACATGGCAGAGGTTGGAGAGGGCAGGCGAGTGATCTCGACTGAACTATGTGAGATATGAGAAAGTTAACATGGAAAATCATATCCACATTCATTTTCTCTACTAGCAATATTCCTTAAGACACTCAGTTCCAAAACCTAGCAAGCCATATGATGTGATATATATTTTCTTGTTCTTGATTTTTAGTCAATTATTTATTTAATTAATTAATAAAAGAAACTTTTTATTTTAGTATCATTGATATAATATTATAGTTTGTTAATATTTTGATTTAGACTTTTTAATTTTTTTTTCTGTTTTCATATTAATCTTAGTACAAGTTTTAGTAATTTTATTGTGTTTTTTTACATTTATTAGTGTATCTTTAATGTAGCATTTATTCATATTTATTTGTTAGTTTTAATTGTTTTAGTTTTAATTATTTTATACTTCGAGCTAAACTAAGCAAAAATTAGAAATGCTGGCAAATATCTGAAATAAAATAAGGTATATTATTTGATTTCAGTTATGTTAATTTTGTTTCAAGTAATTAAAAAAAATATATGGTTTTAGTTTTATTTAACAATAATAACCCCGTGTTTGTAGTAGAATTAAATTAAATTAAATTAAATTAAATTAAATTAAATTAAATTAAATTCAATTCAATTAAATTAAATTCAATTAAATTAAGCTTTTATCCAAAGCAACTTACAAATGAGGACAATGGAAGTGATCAAAATCAACAAAAGAGCAATGATACGCAAGTGCTATAATGAGTCTCAGTTAGCTTGACGCAGTACACGTAGCAAGGTTTTTTTTTATTATATAATAAAAGAAAACAGATAGAATGAAAAAGGATAGAGCAAGCTAGTGTTACGAGGCCTTTTTGCTTTTGTTAATTGTATAATAAATAAAAAGAAAATAAATAGACAGAATACAAAAAGATTAGAGAAGCTAGTGTTAGTTTTTTTAAGAAAACAAGCAGTTAGTAAATGAATAGAGTGCAAGTCTAAAAGTTTTTTTAAAGAATAGAATTAGAATAGAGAGTGCTAGAGTTAGAGGGTCAAGTAAAGATGGAAATTAAATTAAATGAAACCAGTATAAAAAAAAGAATATTAATTTTAATATTTGCTTAAGATTATATTTAACAATGTTATTCAATTATCAGTCTTTTTTTACGATTCATTTTAAGTGACAGGAAAAAAAATCTAAATGTTATACTAAAATAATTCCCATAAAAATAAGAATTCACAATTAAATATTTGGACAACTAAACTAAATGAATAAAATAAAATTGAATAAAATAAAATAAAATAAAAACTAAAATAAAATGTATTTATATAAAATCTAATTTATACTCACCCATTTTTAAATACAATATTCTAAATTATTTAATTGTTCCATACAAATGTGATATTATAAAAGACAACATGTTGTTTCCTAAATTAAATAATTGCCTTTTATATAGTTACTGTACTAAAACCACAAATAATGATTAACAAAATAATGATTACAGTCTCTGTAAAATAGAATAAAATTGTTTAAAAATAGAAAGCAGAACGAAATAGTAAAAATTGTAATTTTTAGCACCCATTACACCTCGATTCAAGTTTGGCTAAGGAGCCTAAAAATACAGACTAAGTAGGCAGCTCACTAGGATTTGGAAAGTAGTGGTGACACACATACAGTAACATACCTGTTGAGGTCCCTCATCATGAGGTTCTGGAACTCAGACGAGACGCCCCTGTTGAAGCTGGGCCTGGAGAGCAGCCTGTCTGTCTGTCTCTCTGGAGGCGGTCTGTCCATCTGATGACTGGGCTGTCGCTGGAGGTGAGGGTTACGAAGGGCCATGCTGATGTCATTTAGAAGGCGGGGCAATGGTCCGAGTTTGATGATAGCATCCTTTGGCACGGTAAAAACAGACCGAGGAGACCAAACTGATGACCGATCGCAAACGTAAGTAGACAATCACACTCATCCTCATCTAGAATATCAAACAGCATCTACCTTGCTTAGTTGTGCCATGACTTCCCACAAAAGACTGTGCAGGATCGAGAGCTCTCTTCCCAAGTCGATGTAGCCCTCAAAAGCAACTGCGTTGCTCACGCTGTCGAGATTAGAGATCTCGTACAGGAACTGCTGCATGGAGCCCCACTCCATCTCTAAAAACTCATTCATAAAGGACATGTACTCCTCCTTACTGCCAAACCTGTAACACATTGGTAAGGACACAGGGTTTATATGGTCCGCTTTGAATGTTAAGACAATGATAATGAAGATAATGTGAATGATCATTATGTTCATCATCAGTAACGGCTGCACAGTTTGTTAAAGCTCAATGGTTAACGATCTGGGCTGACAGCCCAAACGTCATAATTTAACCCATAAAACCCATCACCATCTTGTCCTTGAGCACACTTAAAGTTAAGATGACAGTCCCAGATTTCAGTGTATCATATGTTGGTTTGGATGGAAGAATAAAATTTAAAGCACAAATATCATGATCACAATTAGGGATGCAAAGATATTCAAATTATGGCTGTTAAGGTAACCATGATATTTATTTGTCTAAATAAAATGATAAATAAAACACCAAAAACTAAAGTTAGTTACTTTAAATCAATTGCTTTAAATCTATTAAAGCATTATCATTTTTAAAGATTGATTTTAAGTGAGCTTTAGTTGATGGCAAATATAATCCAAACATAAAAAATAGGGAAAATGCCCAATTAAAATAAAATACAATTAAATTAAATTAAGAAAGAAATAATCAAATAAAATGGTACCAATACATCATGTATTTCAAATCGGAATGAGGAAAATGAAAATACAAAATTGAATATCTAATGTGGAAAATTAAATTAAATTAAATTAAATTAAATTAAATTAAATTAAATTAAATTAAATTAAATTAAATTAAATTAAATTAAATTAAATTAAATTAAATTAAATTAAATTAAATTAAATTAAATTAAATTAAATTAGTTGATAACCAATATGATCCAAGTGTATCATGCATCCCCAAACAGAATGGTTACCCTGCTGAAAAGACCAGCATCAATTTAAGTTACTGTACTCTCATAATACAGCAGAAAATGATGACATGGTAATAAAGTTAGAAGACCTTAGAGAAGTGTGTACTGACTTTGAGAAGTTTGCAAGGTTCTGCACAACTTTGGCTATGAGGGTGAGTGTGCGTGAAGTCTGCTCATCGGGGTACTCCTGTGTGAGGTTGAATAAGGATGGCGACATGACGGCTGGACACAGGAAGCGCAGGAAGAGGGAACCACTGATCAGTCGATCTGCAATGTCTTCTCTTCCCCTCTCAGCGCAGCGAACACGCCAGGACGCAAACACCTCTTTCAATTCTCTTGGAAACGCACTGGGACAAACAAATAATACAGATTATTTCCATTTAGATTTTAGCAGCTGGTGTGATATCATATTTTCACTGCCCCATCATGTATAAGATATGAAAGTAAAAATAAAATGTCAAAATTCATAATGAGGGATCATGTGTATTGTTATCAATATAGTTTTCTCAATATGTTTCATAGAATTTTGATCATGCAATCTTAAGAAAGATTTTTTCAAAAGATCTCCAATCACAGCTATTATAAAAACGTTGTTTTGCCTCTCAAACCCAAAAGCTGCAAAAATATCACAATGTATAATTTTTGTATATACAATGTATCATTTATTTATTTATTTTTACTGTCCAGTGGTGTGGTGCACTTAATTAAATATATACAGATTTATTGATTTAGTTAGTTAGTTAGTTGGTTTTATGTATTTATTTTTTGGGTGAATAGAAAGTTCGAAAAAGTTTGAAAAATAAATATTTTGTAACATTACAAATTGTAAAAAAATGGATCAATTTAATGCATCCTTGGCGAGTAAAAATGTTTTTTAATTTTATTTACATAAAACTTTTTAATGGTAGTGTATCACAAAAATATTAAGCAGCACAACTTTTGTTCAGTGATGATAATACTACTAAATGTTTCTTGAGCAGCAAATCAGCATATTAGAATGATTTCTGAAGGATTATGTGAAACTGAAGACTGGAGTAATGATGCTGAAAATTCAGCTTTGCATCACAGGAATAAATTACATTTTACAACATATTCAAATGAAAACAGTTATTTTAAATTGTAAAAATATTTCATAATATTACTGTTTGTCCTGTGTTTTTGATCAAATAAATGCAGTCTTGGTGAGCATAAGAGACATCTTTCAAAAACAGTAACAAATAATCGTAATTATTTGATTGCTGCAGTACATCTTGCAGTTTTTTCAGCATGGAAATTTACAGATGGCACATCAATTTAAAAACTGTGTGAACGGCCCATGAAAGGATGGTCTATGTCAGCTCTGTAACTAACCAATGAGAGTTGACGATTTTGCAGAGTGCGAGCTCACAGCACATCCGGAGGTTGGCTTGATGTTCAGGCAGCACAGAAGGTGGAGTCCTCATTGGGTCGACTTCACAGTTCTCCTCTGACTCATACAGCGCACGGATAAAATCACCTGAATCCAGATGAGACCATTAATGTGTGAGTACAGCAGCTGAAACTACGACAACTCTCCAAACAATCTGAGGAAGTCTCACCTAAAACGTCTTTGAGGTACTTATGCCCGATGAGTTTGAGGTACTCTTCTATGGCTTTGGTGGCCAGGGTGTTCTCTCTGAAGATCAGGTGCTCTCGATCGATAAATCGGTCCACCTCACACATCGCCATGTCTGAAAGAAAATCCTTGTGCAGAACAAAAGAAGAGACATCTGTAATCACTTGACAATTACCTACATATCATTAAATATAATGAGTTGCCTTGTTTTCTACTGTCGACATATGGAGACAGTCTCCTAATCATGATAGAACCAAATAAGTACGTGATTTTTAGTGCTCTACATCGACAGCAACAGTGTTGTTATTTTTAGCAAAACTATTTCAAATTGCTTTGGTAATTGAAATGAAGTTGAAATTAAATATAAATAGTAGATACAAACTTAAAACTTAAACGAAAATTAGAAATGTTGCCTTAGAAACTAAGTGAAGTTGACTATTAAACTACATTTGAAGTTGAAGTACTGAAATTGCTCAAACTAAAACTAAGGAAAATATATATTTTTTTACATTTATAAAAAAATATAATACAATTGACAAAAACACATAGCATAAATTAAAATAAAATAAAAAATATAAAAATATTTCAATATTTATAAAAAAAATACAATGGACAAAAATACATAAATTAATAAAACTAAAAATAATATGTAAAATAAATGTAAAAATAAATAAATAAAAAATTAAAGTTAATATACAAAATATGAATAAATACTATAATACTGTGTGCCCGACAAATAATACTCGCACAGAGAGTTTGATGTTTGAACTAACATGCATAACAATACATATACCCAAAATATTAGATAAAACAGTCTATTTTTAATTAGATTACACTATTTGTGCAATAGTTTTTAGTATTAAATTAAATACAGTATTTTTTCTGCATTTTCTCTGATTTAATGGATTTAAACATGGTGATTCTCCAAAATGCGAACATAAAATTACACAACATATACACATATTAAGTAAATTATTACATTTTACTCTATAGGTTTTTTTCCCAATTATTTTCACAATTAAATCAAACATTAGCAGGTCATTAGCAGTCTGCTGTTAATTTCTTTCTGATTTATAGAATTAAACATGGCAAAATGTTTTAGATGGAGCAGAAATAATCTAATTGGTAGCTGAAAATAACTTTTCAAAAGTATATATAACTATTTCTCTCACTTTAACTCAGTTTGGCACAATTCATTCTGGGATTCTCTTTGTCACAAAATTTTGGTGCCAAATTTACTTCAGGAGCATACAGTGGGTACGGAAAGTATTCAGACCCCCTTAAATTTTTCACTCTTTGTTATATTGCAGCCATTTGCTAAAATCATTTAAGTTAATTTTGTCTGAATACTTTCCGTACCCACTGTATATATGATGTCTTATGCTGTCTGATTAGGCAGCTCACTAGGTTTTGGAACATACTAAATAGCCTACATGCAAACAAACATTATTCAACAAAGTGGTACCTTGGCCTTCCCTGTGCTCTGCAGGATGTGCACCAGAGCACAGGCCACTTCCTCTTTGCTCTTGACACTCAGCAGCGGCTCCAGAACGGCGCACAGCGTTCGGTAGTTGTTGGTCACATACTCTGCGAACTCTTTATACAGCTCCATCGGCAGGATGCTCATGGTCTGAAAGCGTGACTTGAGCCGCAGGGAAGCGTTGATGATTTTGCCCCCTCCAACACCGCCACCCTTGGCCAGGACGCTGGGCTGAATGACGGGGTACCATTGCTCCACAAACTGACGACCAGTGATGCTGGAAATGGGAATGCTAATCAAGCCCAGGTATGTGCTCTTCTCCTGTTATGATCAAGAAAATTGACAAAACAAAATGATCAGTCACCATATCAAGAGACATATCAAAGTCTCATCTTTTCATCATAATTTTAAATGGCAATGCCTTGAAGCATTATTTGCTATCAGTTTTTTGCTTATTTGCATTAAAAAAAACTGTTTTTGAGTCTATAGGAGTCATTTCTATCATCATATCATATTTTTATATACACACACACTTAAATTTTGTAATAGTTATTAATTTAGAAATAATAATAAATATAAATAAAATACTGTTAATATATATGTATACATATATATATACACACACAGTATGTATATATATATATATATATATATATATATATATATAGTATATGTTGTAAAAATATATTTATTCATTATATATATACACACATAATGTATATTAATGTACATTTATATTAGCATAATAATATTTTTAAATAATAATTCATTTATAAATAATACATACTATTAATATACAATAATTATTCAAATTAGAATAATTAATGTATAAATTATACACACACGATAATGAATATACACACTGTCACAAAGCAAGGCCAGACACAACAGGTAAGTGCAAATCAGGATGGTTTATTGACTGGGTAAGGGGATGACTGGAATAGGTGAGTTAAAGGCAGGTGAGTGTCAACACAGTGAATGGTTCCAGGGTGCTTATCTGAGTTCTGATGGTGAGGATCGGATGCCGGTTACGTTGGAGATCGTGGAACAGTTTCCAAGGAGTCGTT